CAACTGAGCCACCCAGGCGCCCCTATACATATTTTTTTTTAAATAGGGTTGTACTATACCTGGTGTGTTTTTTCTAACCAGTTTGCTCACTGAATTCAGCACTGTGGGCATCATTCTCTTTTGCACGTCATCTTTTGCCAATAGCAAATGTGTGTTTTAATGTTTACTGAATTGATTCATTCAGTACTGACTTGCCGACGATTACACACACAGGGGTATTTCATTGTGTGAGCAATGCAACATAATATTTGAAATTGATGCTGTCCTGGAGAATCTAGGACATGTGGTGATCCTGTGTCCTCCTGTCCTCGTGGCTGTGATGCTGCTGTTCCTTCTTGGGGTGCGTGCGTGTGCGCGCGCGTGTGTGTATTGCAAGCCCCTTGGTACTCCTGGAATACCTGGAACCCTGCTACTTCCCCCCAAAGTGTCTGACCCCTCCCGCTGTCCCTTAGTGTCAGTGACCTGCTCTTTCACTCCAAGTGAGTGTACTCTTCAGCAATTCTAGGCTCCGGAGTTGCTGTCTGCCCCCATTGATCCCTTAGAAACTTTTGGAACCTTTTACCTCCATCCACTGCTGGGTCCTTACAAAATATTTATTTGTTGCTCCCCCCTCCCGCCACCAAGTCATGCTCTCAAATATTCGTAACTGTCTCCTCCACAGATCTCTCTCCATTCTCAGGGTGTCCATTGACACAGCTTCTGCCGAGTTTTGGTTTTAGAGTGTTTTGTGTATAATGCTCGTAGGGAGATTTTTCATTGTAACTCTGGCTTCTGTATCAACTTTTCCCCCTGCCTTGGAAGTACAGAGGGTTGGCTCATTTGCTGCTCCATGTGCTATCAGACTATGCCCTGCCCTTAACCTCGTTTTCTCCTTCCTGAAGTACTCTGGGAGGGAATGGGGTGACATTTTATAGCCCACCCTCCCCCTACCTTCTGGCAACAACTCAAGCCTGTGGTCCCTGAGGTTTCATAAGGAGCCTCAACTCACATGCATTGAATGGCAGCCATGCGCCAGGCCCTACGTGGGTTCTGTGTTTGTATCGCATTTACCCCTCAGCACTGCTCCGAGTGGAGGGTGGTATTATCTCCATTCTATGTTTGAGGTACCTGAAGCTAATTTGCCCAGATCATACTACTTATAAGTATTTAGGGTCCAAAGCCAGGCCTTCCGAGCTCCAGAACACTTGGATTCTTTTCACAGTCTCCAGGGGTAGAATAGTCTCCCCTCCCCACCCCACAAGAGCATTTCTAACCCTCTGCTGCTGCCCTCAGAGGCTTTCTGACCCTTTTTTGCTTTGTATGAAGTATTTTTTAAAATAGTGGTTATTTTTCCAGTACCTGAGATAAGCAACTTTGCTCAAGCATCTGTGACCCCAGGATGATCGTGCTTCCCCCAAAGTGGCTCTACTCTCCTGCTTCCTTCAAGGTGCCTGAGTCCCCGTGGCTCCTGCTGGGCCTCCCCTGCACCGCCTCCCAGCACACCAGTCTCTCTTGCTTCTCTAGCCTCTCTGACTTGATTTTTCTAGTTGTCTTCAGTAGCCTCTCCCCTTAAATGGTGGTATTCCCAGGGACCTTTTTCTCACTTCCTCTTTCTCCCTGGCTATCACATTCATGGCGTGGCTTAAGCCTGACTCCCAAGTTGCCTGACTGGCCCTGTTGCCTGGGCCCTTCTGTCTGATTGCCTTCCATTGTCTCCAACCAGATGTCCTGAAGGGACTTCAACCTTAGCACATTCCACATCTGACGTCCCAGCTACCTCCTTTATGGGCCTTCTGCTATCATTTCCTGGCTTTGCTCACGGTATCACCCTCTGCTGTCACCCATCTTACAAGCTAGAGACCTTAAAGACATTATTTTATTCCATTCTTTCACATCTCATATTCAGTTAATTTTCACATCTTGTTTTTGTTTCTGCCTCAGAAATATCCCCCAATCCAGTCCTTTTATTTTTCCTCCCTCCCTCCCTCCCTTCCTTTTTCCACCAGCCCTTTTATTCCCTCTGCTGCTACCTAAGTTCCGACCTCCACTCTTGCCTGGATTGTGTGAATGGCCTTATAACTAGCATTATCGTCTTAAAACCCCAAACTGATCATGTCACTGTCTTCCTCAAGAAGATCTGCAGATCTTACCTGTAGGATAAAGTCCACACTCCATGGCACGGCAGAGCAGACTCTTCACAGTTGGGTGCCCACCTTTTCACCTCCAGCTCCGTCTCTGCTCACTAGCCCAGCAGTCCCCTGTGCCAGAGCTGTGGCCACAGGGAGTGCCCCATGTCCCTGAACATGGCTCCTCTCTTCTCCACCTGCTCGTCTTCCTCTCTGAAGCCCGCCCCCTGGCTAATTGCTCCTTTCTCTGACCTGGCTCAGTTGTCACCTCTTGGATGCTGTTCCCCCTGGTTGTATGTGGGTGGGTTCTCCTCTGTGCTCCCCCACACATCTGCTAGTCCATGTTTCCTGGTATCTGAGCACACGTTTGTCTTCCAGACTCGAATGGGGGCTCTTGGAGGCAGTGATGTGCTTAGCACGTGGCACAGTAGCTCGGACATAGTAGGTGGTGAAGGAATGCCACTCTGTTCTCTCCAGAGTTCCTGGGATACTCAGAATTCCTCCGAGGGGCTCATGACCTTCTGTTACCCCTGAGTAATTTTCTCCGAGGCGTGTCTGAGCCCTTGTCTGTGTTACGGGGTGGCTGTGGTTGTCAGATTCCTCCCACAGAGCTGTACCTCCCCTTCCTGCCGGGTATCTGGGACTTCTCTCTTCTCCAGTCCCCACCATCCCTAGAGCACCTCTGCCCCCGTGCTGTACCAGGAGGGAGGCTCTGCCTCCTCATTGCTTCCTCAAGCTGCCTATGCAGCATTCATTAATCCCCCAGGCTGGTGTTCCTCCAAGTGAGGTCCTGAATCACCCACATGAGGGTCACTCTGACTGCTTGTTTGAGACTTAGTTCTTGGGCCATCCCCTAACTCTACTGGGTGAGAGTTGCTGGGCCGTGGGCCCAGGAATCTGTGTTTTGATCAATTCCCCAATTGATGATGGTATACCCTAAAGCTGTGACTTGTTCCAGAGCAGTGTCCACCCCCCAGTCAGAAAGAGCACCAGTTCCCTCAGACATGGACCGGAGTGGGAGAGCAGAAGTAAGACTGGGGTATGCTGAGAAGCGAACCCCCTTCCTGGAGAGTCACGGTGTAATCAGTACAGTAGGGGATAGAGGTGGCCCTAAAACAACAATGACAAGAAACAAGCCAACAGACAAAAAAAGCCTAATTTTCACAAGGGCAGCCCTTATTCTTCCTTCCTGCACGTTAGCATGCCGGCAGTTCTCCCTTAACATGGGTGGCCTGTTCTACCCTGGAGCCCTTTGTGTCTACGTTGATTGTAAGTGAGATGCTCCCTGTCAGGTGCTTGGCGGTGCCTGCCATGCAGTGGGCACTCAGCTCCTGTGGGTTCCACCCCTGCGTCATCCCCTGCTCTGCCTACAACCCCCTTTGCTCCCCTCAGTCGTCTCTGACAGCCCGTCTCCTCCCTGTCGCCCTGCAGGGGGGGTCCTCTATGTCGCCACTGTGAGAAACTACTTGGGGACGGAGCCGATAATCTCCCGGGCTGTGGGTCGCGCCGAGGACTGGATTCGGACAGAGACCTTGCCGTCCTGGCTTAACGGTGGGGAGAGGGGGAAGGGTGCTCTGGGGGACAGAGCTGGCTGAGGCCGGGTGGCCCCAGGCTGCGTCTGTGGTATCTGAGGCCACTGGTCTCCCCAGCCCCAGCCTTTGCTGCAGCCGTGGCCTTGAGCCCAGCCGAGTGGGGGGATGAAGACGGAGATGATGAGATCTACTTCTTCTTTACGGAGACTTCCCGAGCATTTGACTCATATGAGCGCATTAAGGTCCCACGGGTGGCCCGTGTGTGTGCGGTGAGACCACTGTCCCTTCTGTCTGCCTGTCCTCTTCTGCTCTGCCTGTCCTGTCTTTGCCTCTCTGGGCCTCTGTCTTTGCATCTCTCCTCTGTCTCCTTTTTCCCTCTGCCTTGACTTCTTTTCTGGGAGCTTGGGGAGTGTGGAGAAAGGGCTCTGGCCTTTCACCCCCATAATTACCCTTATGACACATTGTCCCCAGGAGGTGGACTAGTGGAGAGGTCAAAGGCAGGGACTGTTGAGAGCTAGTCCTACGTTCAAGTCCTGGCTCCACCAGTTCCTGCCTCTGTGACTCTGGGCAGGTTCTTTAGCATCTTTTAACCTCCTCTGTGAGATGAGGATATTAATGATTTCTAGCTGTAAGGGTTGTTTTGAGGACTTAATGAGGTGACTTATGGAAAGCATGTAGGGCGGTATTTCATAAGTGCGCAATGAACTCAGTCACCGTCATTGTTACTGTGACCCCATCCAGCCCCAGATCTCCTTATCCCCTGCAGTATTCTGTATCTCCATCCTTGCATTTCTGTGCATCTGTCTTCCCGTCTGTCTGTGTCTGCCCTGAAGACGGGGAAACCTATATTGGTGTCCTCATGCCTCCCACAATGTTGTTGTTCTAAAGAGAACTTCCCATGTGCTTGTCACCCCAGGGGGACCTTGGGGGCCGGAAGACCCTCCAGCACAGATGGACGACATTTCTGAAGGCTGACCTGCTATGTCCAGGGCCTGAGCATGGCCGGGCCTCCAGCGTCCTGCAGGACGTGGCTATTCTCCGACCTGAGCATGGATCGGAGACCCCCATCTTTTACGGCATCTTTTCCTCCCAGTGGTGAGGGGCGTCTGGTGTGGGGGAGAGTTACAGGGTGGGAGATACATGGGGGATGGGTGCAGTGTCAGTGCTGTCTGCTCCAGAGGGGGTGGGCTCTCCCTGGAGCAGGCTGCATGGCTCCCTTTGCATTTCTCATGGGTCCTCTCATTTGACGGATATGAGTTGCTGTTCCCTAGTTCCCTCCAAATATCTGGCTCCAACCTGTGACTCTTACAGGGAGGGGGCGGCCATCTCTGCTGTCTGTGCCTTCCGACCACAGGACATTCGGACAGTGCTGAGTGGTCCCTTCAGAGAGCTGAAACATGACTGCAACAGGGGATTGCCTGTCATGGACAACGATGTACCCCAGCCCAGACCTGGAGAGGTGAGGGGGGTGAATTTCCTTACTTCACGCCTGCATGGCCGCAGGAGAGAAAGGGCCCAACTAAGCATCACGGACACTTCCTGGCCCCTGGGAAACTGTCACCCATCCTGTGTTTCCTCTAGTGCATCACCAACAACATGAAGCTCCAGCAGTTTGGCTCATCACTCTCCCTGCCTGATCGTGTGCTCACCTTCATCCGGGACCACCCCCTTATGGACAGGCCAGTGTTTCCAACCGATGACCATCCCCTGCTCGTCACTACAGACACAGCCTATCTCAGAGTTGTGGCCCACAGGGTGACCAGCCTTTCAGGGAAAGAGTATGATGTGCTCTACCTGGGGACAGGTATGTTCAATAGTTCAGCGAGTTGCCCATCCAGTGCACACATGCTCCTGTCACAGAGTGGGTCCCCTACGTACAGGTGTCAGAGTCCCCAGGCACAGGTACAGTTCTGTCATTATGTCTTACCACTTGTCTGCTTCCTAGAGGATGGACACCTCCACCGAGCAGTGCGGATTGGAGCCCAGCTCAGCGTCCTGGAGGATCTGGCCTTATTCCCGGGGCCACAGCCAGTTGAGAGTATGAAATTGTATCAAGTGAGTTATAGATTTGGGGGAATCTGGTGGGGATACATCTGAGTCCAGAGCTAGTTTGTTACCCTGAGGCCTGGGAGATCCAGCGTATTCTTCTTCCCTCACTCTCTTTCTGTAGAGCTGGCTCCTGGTGGGCTCCCGTACCGAGGTGACACAAGTGAGCACAACCAACTGTGGCCGTCTCCAGAGCTGCTCAGAGTGCATTCTGGCCCAAGACCCTGTCTGTGCCTGGAGCTTCCGGCTGGATGCATGTGTGGCCCATGCTGGGGAGCATGGCGGGTGAGTGTCGCTGCGCCGGTCTCTTGCCTGCTGTCTCAGGGCACCGGCCCATCCACATGTTTGTGTCCGTTTCTCATCTGTTGGGGTACCTGGCTCTTCAGTCAGTAGAACGTGTGACTCTTGATCTCAGGGTCATGAGTTCAGGCCCCATGTTGGGCGTGGAGCCTACTTTATTTGTATTTTATTTTATTTTATTTATTTTACTTTAATTTTATTTTAGAGAGCGTGAGTGGGGGGCGAGGGGTGGGGGAGGGGCAGAGGGAGAGGGAGAGAGAGAATCCCAAGCAGGCTCCACGCTCAGTGCAGGGCTGATACGGGGCTGGAGCTCACAACCCTGAGACGATGACCTGAGCTGAAATCAAGTTGGACACTTAACCGATTGAGCCACCCAGGCGCCTCCATGTGGAGCTACTTAAAAAAAAAAATGTCTCTCATCTGTTAATGCTGCCCTACCTGTGTGTGTGTGTATTCTGTCTGTGTCACTGTGTGTCCGTCTGTCAGTGCATACTGACTCGTGTGTCTGTCCATCTGGTGCTGCCTCATCAATGTCCTTGCGTCTCTGCTGGACCTGCTCTGACCGTGTGACTGACCTCCAGGTTGCCCACACTTCTCAGTTTTCATTTTACAACAGCTCTCAGAAGTGTTTGCAGCGTTGACTGCTCCCTGCTAACTTGAGATACTGGAGCCTCTTGCCTTCTCTGACTCTGCATTCTCCTGGATTTCTTCCTTCCCCCACCAGTCTGTCTCCCTTACTGACTCCTTTTCCATCCCACTTCTGAATGTTGGTATTCCTCAGGGTTCGTTCAGTCCTTCTCTTTACACTTCCACACACTCTCCCATTATCTTCAACACCAGCTGAGTGCCGCTGACCACCAATGATGTGTCTTTAGTTGAACTGTGGGATTCCCTATCTCACCGCCTACCTGATATTCCCTTCACAAGCAACTCAAGCTGAGCAAGTCTTAGCGTGCACCATTGTTTCCTCTTTCCTTCACATGCTCTTCCTGTGGTTTTCATCATTGCAAAAAAGGGACCTCCATCCAAGCCAGAATTGCCTGTGCTGTCGTGCAGTTAGTACTGACTCTAGCTCCATCTGTCATAACCTCAGTCCACAGCCACTTCCCCCCTTCTCTGCTGCTCTCACCCTAGTGCAAGCCATCATCGCTTCTTGACCAGATTACTCTGGCAACCTCTTAATTGGTTTCCTTTTGACCACTGGGGGATCTGACCATCTCTTTTCCCCTCAGCGGCTAGCTTAAAATTATATATCACATTGAAGCAAATCCCTGACATCATATTCATCTGAAATATTTCAATATGTATCTCTACCAGGTAAGGACTCTCCCTCTCTCTTTTTTCTTTTTAAGTTTTTAAAAAGATTTTATTTATTATTTGAGAGAGAGAACATGAGAGGAGGGAGGGACAGAAGGACAATCAGACTCCCCACTGAGTGTAGAGCCCTCCACGGGGCTCTATCCCAGGAGCCTGGGATCATGACTTGAGCTGAAGTCAGATGCTTAACCGACTGAGCCACCCGGGTGCCCCCCCCATAAGGACTTGGTTAAAAAACATTTTATTATAAGGAATTTCAAACATTCAAAAGTAGAATAATACAATGAATTCCTATCATCTCTTGCTCAGCTTCACAACTGGCAACTCCTGACCAATCTTGCTTCATCAACACCTTCGCTCACTCCCAGTTATTTTATAGCAGATCCCAAACATCTTATCACTTTATCCATAAATCTTGCAGTATATACCTTTAACACAGATGGAATTAAAAATAAGACAAAACCATATTATCATTATTATACCATAAACTTAATATCATGAGACATCCAATCAATGTTCCAGTTATCTCAATTGGGTATACTTCAAGATAGTTGCTTAAGTTAGGATCCAAATAATGTCCATCGATTGAAATTGATTGGTGTTTCTTAAGTCTTTTAAGTTTTAGGTGAGATTCCCTTTAATGAAACATTTTTAATCGATTGCTTGGAAAATATTTTTTTCAAATTGACTTTGAGATTTCCTATTTTGAAGCCCAGTTAATTTATAATATATTTGTATATATTACTGAACCATAAGGTTACCAATATTTTAGAAGTAAAAGTATTTGTTTTGGGAATCAGTTTTTCATTAAGAACGTTGATCTGGTAGTTTCTCTTGGGAGAACTTTTAAATGTCTAAGACAAGGCAAGTGCTTTATTGTTTTAATACCCATTAAAATAAGAATATCATTGTTCTTGGGTATCCTGTGTACTTGAGCCTTTTAAGATATATGTATGTGTGGGGTGTGGGGTATGTGTATATGCTAGTATATTTCTTGGTAATACAAGAAATCACCAAGTTGGTACTTCTTTTTTTTTTTTAAAGATTTATTTATTTGAGAGTGAGAGTGAGAGAGCATGGGCACATGAGTGGGGTGAGGGGCAAAGGGAGAGGAAGAAGGAGAGAAGCAGACTCCCTGCTAAGTGCAGAGCCTGAGGCGAGGTGGGTGGGGCTCCATCCCAGGAGTCTGAGATCATGACCTGAGCCAATATCAAGAGTCAGATGCACAACTGACTGAGCCACCCAGGTGCCCCACCATGTTGGTACTTCTATGCACTCTATCCTCCACACCTCAATTCATATGAGTGAGAAAAACAGACTCTGGAGTTCCTATGGCTATAGCTGCTCAAATGGCCTTCCTATGTTCCCCACTCTCAGCCAGACTAAGTGACCTTGGTTTTATCCAGGAGACTGTAATGTATTCATACCAGTCTTGGAGCTCATTTCAGGGGCCTTAATTCATGTGCAAGGAATTCACACTCAAATAGAGTCTATCTTTGGTTGAGACTTTTGTGTGTTCAGATCAGTGGAGATAGCTTGGTGGAGGTCTCCCTCTGGGGAGTGGTGACAGGGACTTTAGGGTGAACAGTCTGTCCTGCTGTCCCTGTGTCAGGCACAGTCCATGCATATCCTGGAAGAACCAGGATTGTGTTGTTTGAAACAGATCCATTTGAGGCTAATAGACATCAATAGGTGTTGGAGAGAGAAAGTTCCTACATAGAGGTGAGCCGCTTTTATGAAACAAAGAGTCATCTCCCTCACAGAATTTTGATTCACTTTTATAGAAAAGAAGTTTTCTTTCTTAATAGAAAACAAGTTAACTGTAGTTTTTATGTCCCCCCCCGCCGAGAAATCTTGTGGTTGTGGATACCCAGATACATTTCGTGGAACATTCATATGCGTTTTTTTAAAGCATCCTCCAAACACCTTTCCAACAGACTTACTGCTAATTTAATTCTCTGTGGTCTGCTGGAAATATGTGTAGAATTTGACATGGCAAGTGTCATGAGGAGCAAAAGGGGTATTGGGGGAAATTTTATTGATGAAGAGAATGTTGACTGATAGTTTCAGGAGTATTTATGAAATGGGAGCTGTGATCCCATTACATTACTAAATGTTCTTTGGTGCCGAGCAAAGTAGAAGGGGATGTTGACACTGGATTTACCAAGTATTCTCTTCTCTACAGGCTGGTCCAAGACATAGAGTCAGCAGATGTCTCTTCTTTGTGTCCCAAAGAGCCTGGAGGTCTGTATGGTTTAGGGGAATGTGGGTGGAGTGGGTGAAAGGGGCTAGAACGCTGTCCGTTTGGGACCCACTTTAAAAATTGGAAGGTATGATATATACAATGGAATATTATGCAGCCATCAAAAGGAATGA